CTCCCCCCCCCCACCCCACCCCACCCCACCCCACGCCCTACCGACCGAGAGCGGAGACCTTTCGAACGAGAGCGAAACCGTCTACCGATTATGTGCACGTAATCATCCCGCGACGCAATAGACGTTCGCGCCAATTGCAAACGGTGCCCAATGACATATCTCGATGGTCAATTGGAGTGCTTTTTTAATCGGCCGAGGACGTTGCGATTGCGACGATAATCATATATTGAAAAATCCTGTGGATTTTTTCTTCGACCGTACGATACGGTTTGTGACAATTCCCGGACAGTGGATATATCATTAATAACATTGAAAATGACAGTTGCAAATGAAAAAAAAAACGCGACTCGCTCAACTTTAGACACTGAAAAATACCTTGTTTATTTGGGACGAAAATACCGTGTTTACATTTTAATGCCAATATCAACATAGGCACGTTTCTTCCACCACCACCACCACCACCACCACCACCACCACCACCACCCCCACCACCACCCTCATCATCATCCTCAACATTCATCCCCATCCGAAACCCGACGCGGATTTTTATTGACCTCGTTGACTTTATTGCACATCTCGGTGATGCTTTGTTTTCCTAGACGCACTTGGCCACGATAAGGTCACATCTTTCGCGTTCGAAGCACGTTGTTCACAAAAATTGTGATACTTTAATAAGGCCGTAAAAACGATTTATCATTATCATTTCAACATAATAGCGCTCCATTTCACGAGGTAACGCAAATTATCCTCTCAGCATATTAGCCAAGTGTTTTGATCGCAATGGTGCGCGCGCGCGAAGGAGAATCTACGAGGATCAAGCAAACTCGAGACTAACTCGCTAGTCGAGGAGCGACGAGACCGCGGCGCGAGAAGAGGAGCAGCATCTTCCAATGAGAAGACGTCCCGCGTAGGCAAAGAAACCTTAGTCGCTAAACTCGAATGCGCAATTATTGGCGTCGTGGACACAGCGCCATGTTTCACTCCATCGGTCCACGATTCCACTCCATCGCAACAACTCCTTACGCTATACAGCCGGAGGCGTAGAGTTAACGAGAGAGAGAGAGAGAGAGAGAGAGAGAGAGAGAGAGAGAGAGAGAGAGAGAGGTTGCATTTACGTGAATAGTCGTAGCGGAGTTATAGATGCGGATGCCTTCCACCGTGTTACAGGGTTTGGTGTCGAGCGCGCCGCCGCCATTCCCGATGTCGAGGTGCGGGCTTTTGTAAGAGCGCGCGACCGAGACGGAGATATTGCAGTGGGCGAAGGCGAGAGGGGACTCACCTGTTTCACAACCTGCGTGACGTACGGTCACGTGACCTCTTGCGCCGCCACTTCTACTCCGTCCGCTCCGTAGGGTTACGACGAAGTGGCGCGAGTGAACGATGCGAGGGAGAGCGAGCGAGCGAGCGAGCGAGAGAGAGAGAGAGAGAGAGAGAGAGAGAGAGAGAGAGAGAGAGAGAGAGTGAGAGAGAGTGAGTGAGTGAGTGAGTGAGTGAGAGAGCAGAGCGTTCACCGCTGGATCACCGCCGAGCGCGTCCAGGAGCTCGAGCAGTCGAACCGCACCCAACGGCAGGCCAGGAGCTCGCGCCGCTTGCTCCCGCTCGGCTCCTCGTTCCATTGTCTCTCTCCACGAGCGCCGACGGCCAAATCGAGTTTTAGCGCGAGTGCCACCTCCCCTACGTCCGCGACCGACCGTTGGCCGTTCGAATTTTCGAGCGGGACGCGCGCCCTCGCGCCCCCTCCCAGTGCCAGGAGTCCCCCAGGGGCAAATGTCGTCGGGGCGGACGAAGCGGCCCCTCGGCCCCGCGGCTCATTAATGCTCAGCAGTGGTCCCGAGATGGGGCCGGCGCTCCCGCGCCTTCTGCTGCTGGCCCTGATGGTGGCCGGGGCGGCACCCGCGCTCCAGCGGACCATCACCACCGAGTCCGCGTCCATCTACTACACGGAACCCGGCTACGCGAGCTCCAACTCCATCGAAGCCGGCTACCGGGGCCCGAGCGAGTTGCCCGGTGGCAGGATACTCCGAGGCAGACGGACCCTCGAGC